CTGGAGGCCCGGCGCTTGCATGTGTGGGGAGCTCGCCAGCCGGAATGCTGACCTCAATCGCACAAGTGGAAAATCTGAGCTTGTAGGGTTGGAAGGGGCCAGGAGGAATCCTGAATCCCACCCTCCAGCCCCCACCCCAGACGGCTTTCTGGCACACGCCTAGGAAGAAGAGTGAGCTCATGGCCCACCAGATGCTGAAAGGAAAAATCTTATCCCCAGTGATAGCAGGCCCTGCTGGGCAGTCGTGTATGGGGAAGTGTTCTCAAGGCCTGTGTGTTACAAAAATAGTCTTAACCAAGATCCTCTTGTACAGTGAGACACTGAAGACAATTCTAAGGGGTGAAGGGTAACTGCCCACAATCCCCGCCACACTAGCAAAACAACTGTGCGGCTCCCTCCAGATGTTCACAGCCCGAGATTTCCTGCAGCTGAGCAGTGACTGCAGTCCTGACTTCTCACGCTGCAGACTGTTTGTATTTCCACACACATTTCAGAATTATGGCTAAATCTTTACCCCCAGGTACCCCAGGGTGACTTACAGAGGAGGGATAGATACAGGGGAGCCGTCACAAAAATCAAGTATGAGGCATGGGCTGGGGGGTTGGATGGGGAAGGGGAAGGAGTCATGTCAGGAAACCCCACCTAAAGAGGCTGCCTCAGTGGGACAGAAAAAGCAACATGGGTGTTTCCTGACACCAGGACTGAGGGGAATTCAACTCTGTGTAGGAAGAAATGTGTTTCTGGCTCCAAGCTCTTGGAAGAATCAATCATGGAAGCTGGCCCCTAAATGGTGTTTAGGAACAGAGGGTGTCCCCAAAAGAATTCTTATCATTATGGCTGCTCCTTACACGGACCCTCAGTAAATGCCACAGGCATGGAACTTTGTGGTTCTGAGAGACAGGGAGGCTCAGTGAGCAGTGGTGATGCCCCACTCTTTAGAGGTCCCCAGGATTATAACCCTGGTGCCACCGCTCTTGGAAATATGACCTAGTAAATTACCCTTATTTGGGCCTCAGTTTCCTCATCTGTAGAGGGAGCTTATAACAGGATCTACCTTTACTGAGTGGTCGTGAAGATCAGAGGCGGCCACTGATTTCTGTGTTTCTGTGTTGTGCTTAGAACAGTGCCTGACATAATGCTATAAAGCGTTGGCTTTGGGATGGAAGAATCTAAAAGCAGAGATTGGCAAACTATGACCCTTGGCCCAAACCCAGCCCACCATGTTTTTGTGTAAATAAAGTTTTATTGGGACATAACCACACCCATTTGTTTACATAACCTCTATAGCTGCTTTCAAGCTCCAAAGGCAGAGCTGAGTATTTGCAAGAGAGACTGCATGTCCCACAAAGTCCAAAATATTTACTATACGGCCCTTTGCAGAGTTTGCCAAGCCCTGACCTAAGTGAATGGCCTGGGTGATGTCTACGCAGGGCTGTTCTGGGCCCAATCCTGAGCCTCCCTCCAGCCTTACTTGGGAGGAGTCTGTCGCACTGCACAGTGCCTCTCTGGGAGTGACATTTTGGAGTGATGGCTACAGAGCACCATGGATGGGAGACATGCCCAGGACATCTCGGCAGGGCTGCTGGGGCCCTGGGAAAGCGGAGGCGGCTCTGAGAGAACATGCCATCAGTATTCTGGGCGGCAGGGAGCCAGCGTGCAATGGGATGCCCAGAGGCGAAGCTTTTGTTTAGCACATACATTAACAAACACCGTAAGCCACTCCTCCGTTCCACTTCATGAGCCTCCCTCGGTCTGGAGCGCAAGGCAGTTCTGCTCGGGACTCATTAGCAGGTGGTGTCAGAATATATACGGGATCAACGCGGCCGAGGCAGTCACGGAGCTTGGCTGCCTCTCGGAATTCAAGGAGTAAACAGATTCGACCCAAGGTCGAGTGTCCCTGACTCGGGGAAACTCTGGGCTGATTTTCTAGGCAAAGACCCGGCCTTCCCGTGCCCCGTTGGGAGCCGCGAAGCCAAGCTCAGGCTAACACGTTAGCAGTGGTAAACTGCAATCGTGGGCTATGTATAGGACATCTATGAGCGTTTGCACAAGGACAGCATTTAGTTTAACAGCCACAGATGGTATTTTCTGGACAACAGACGTATAGTAAAGCAAAATACGCCAATTGAGAAGAGCCTGGCCAGCCAGCATTATCTGAGCCTATTTCATACAGCACCAGCTTTTGTTAGCCCATCACCGCTCTCTACCCTTCAACTTCTGGTTGGTGCTGGTTGGGAGTCTAATGGCAAAGTGCAGCGACTGTCTTCCTACGCTTAGGGCCCTTCCCAAGGACAACATACAGGTCACAGGCAGCAGAGAGACCAGCTCAGTCCCTTTCACTCATGCCTGGCCCTCCGATGGCCAAGATGGGGACGAGCATCTCTGGCTCCACTTTATAGACAGGAACGAGGCTCTGTCGTCGGGTTTCGGCTGCACTGGCCTTTTTGGCCTTAGGGAGCCATTCAGGTGTTCTGGCAGGGGTGCAGTGCGACCAGGGGTGTTCTAGAAAGTCACCTCTGGCTGACGCCGATTGTTATCATGCTCTAGTCCAGGGCTTGGCAAACTATAGCCTCACCAGCCCAATCCGGCCCACTACCTGTTTGTGTAAATAAAGTTTTATCAGAACAGACATGCTTCTACGTTTATGTGTTGTCTATGGCTGTTTCTGCATTACAAGGGGAGAGCTGTGGCCTACCTATCATTTTACAGGTTTGTGGACCCCTGCCCTAGATGAGAGGCCAGCTCCTCATAGCATGGCTTAGACCAGGACACACAAAAGCAATAGGACTTCACAGGCATTTGGGGACACTTTTAAGACGCAGCGAGCAACTAGGATTCTGGCTTAGGCAGCACCGCCTGTGAGGCAATTAACTGATGGGAGAAGCTAGTACACTTGGGGGAAGGTGGGAAAATGGATTGGTTTCAGGCTCCTCTCGTTTGAAGAGCCTACCAAAGCTCTGGTTTGGGTATCTGGAAAGCGAGGAGGAAATGCAGACCTGGAGCTCCCTCCTCTGTTCTCTCATTGTACTTTGTACTATTAGCAGCCAGAACTTCACCTCCTGTTGCAGCTAGTTGTCAGGCTTCTGAGGGCAGAAATTAGATCTTAAGATGTTTTTGGTTATACTTTCCTCTCCTCTAACCCCAGACTCAAAAAGGTAGGGAGGTACACGATATGGGCAAACGGAGCAGTTTCAAAGTTTTCATCGGGGAAGATGACTTTTGGGTATAAGTGTGACTCCTGTCCATGAGTTCCCAAGCTAAGTTGGGATGCAAACCATACATAACAAAAGATGTCATCTATTAACCAAGGCAGCTTAGTCTGTAAGAGCCAATAAGGTTGAGGACTGCTGCAGAGGTCACTCCAGGTGAAGGAAGGCAGTGGAAAGTGGCACTTGGCTTTGAAGAATGGGTAGAAACCTGATTACTTGGAGAGAAAGCAGAGTTCTCAATGATCTTCCAGGAAGAGCAGGGATTCTTAGCTCTCTCTGCCTGTCCTTTGCAAACAGGGAACAGAACCCAAGCTACAGAAAGGCAACTGGTGGGCAACTTATTTTTAAAGGCTCCCCACATGATTCTAAGGTACAGCCAGGGTTGAGAACCTCTCTGGCTTACATGAGCTGAAGTTTTGCAAACCAGTAGCCTATCATAACAAAATAAACCCTCAAGATATGGGAGCCCACAGATGCAGTCTGGAGACAACGAGAAGCCTGGCTAGGATGGACACATTCTAACTCATGAACTAACTCTGGGAGATGCACGAGGAAGCAGAGGCTCCCCACGCAACCCCCTCCAGGGAGTGCAAGCGATCTTGAAGGAGTGGGAGAAACAATTACTTCTGCATTCCTTTCAAACAATAAAAGATGTCTTGTAACACGGTACTTCCAAAAGGAAAGAGGCGATGAACATCCAAGTGTCAGGTGCCCAAAACTGGTTTTGGGAGGCAGCTCAAGAATATCTGCAATTTCTACTTTTCCTAATCCAATCTGGTTGAAGAAATGGTTTCGAAGGGACTGCTGTTGCTTACTATTTCCAAGTCAGAAAGCGAAACCCCAAATGGCACTGGCCAGGCTCCTAGGAAGCACTCCCCATCAGCAGAAGTTCCAAGCTCAGCGGGACAACCTTTAACCTGTCCCCTAGCACTTTCCCTCTCTCTCATCATGTGAAGTCCCAAGCTCTAAAACTGCCTGTGAGGGTAACTTGAAAAACTCAGTTTGTATCCACTGAACTCCATCTCTTGACACAGTGGCATTCTCGGGTCTGAAGGACTAAGAACAGTCAGAAGGTTCTCCCACCAAACGGTTAAGAACAAGGCATTTCATGCTGACGTCGTCAGCTCGGCTGCAGAGGGATGGACAAATCAACTGCAAGTGCTCAGATTGCTGAACACATGGATAGACTGCCGGTGTGAATGGAAACACTGTCTGAAATACAACACTGAGAAAATTACCTCGGAAAACGATCACAAGAACACCCCGGAAATTTAACATTATACATTAAGTACATCCACATAGTTGGCCACCTCTCTGAAGGTTGAGCAGCTTTAGAATGTAAGCTGGAACCCCGAGAAAGATAGTTGTTACATGTCCAAAAACAGCAGTCCTGAAAGAGGAGAGGTAAAACAAAGCAAAATCCTTACTGAGTGCTTTTAAAAATACTATGGGTTTTCTGTATTTTTCCCCTTTAAAAATAATTTTTAAAAAGCCTCTGAGGCTAATAATAAATAATCCTTCTTTAGTTTGCTGCTCAGCTTTTAAAGACAGAAAATTACTTAAAAAGCCAAATGTAACAAGTTAATATGGCACAGGCTCATTTCAAGAATAGGAGTTAGCAATTAAATAATAAAATAAAATAAAAACGCAAAAAAAACCATTTTTTTCTTTATTTTTCCCAGAGTGGCAATGCTGCAAATGAGAGAATTCTTGAAAGGAGAGCAGAGAAGCGGTCTTGCAGTGCTCTGAAGCAGACGTGGCATCAGGGAAACAACCACTCAAGCACACAAGTGGCATTTTGTGATCAAATTTATTTTTTGTTTAAATTTCATTTACTTTGTTTTACTGTAATTTACACAAGAGACTGCCAAGTAAACTAGATATTTTACATTCACCACACATTCCCTCAAATCTCCACAGTTGTTAGAAAAACATTAAAATCCATGCGTTGGGCTCTCATTTCCATGTGCGCCCCAGCTCCCAACGATGCTACAGATGCCAGCGAGAGTTAAGTTCATTAAGAGGAGAGGACTAGACTCTTTATTTCACAAAATTAGCAATAATCTTCCTCACATCAAACATTTTGCAGACAATGATTATGCGTTGACAAAACCTATCTTACAACAGTGCTCAGAGAGTAAACATCAGTCTTGATCCTGAGTACACAGAGGACATACGCAATGTGGTTTTGTAGCCGAGGAGAAGCGCACCACAATGCAGAAGACATCCTTGTCTGAGTCACTACGATCACTTCAGTGGGGACACATGACATGTGCGAAAGTGGGGGGAGCAGGACTGTCAGCAAATCAGATTACTAATGTGATGTGACTACAGGGGCTGGTGTGTTGTAGGAGGGACGGGACGTTAAAGAGGACAGTTTGTAACCTGAAGGCTTCAACAGTATCATTCTATTCAAGCTTCCAGGACTGACAGGAGAAAAACTGGATTGGGACAAAGAAAGCTGATAAAATTCATACCTAGCTGTCCTTCCTTTCTTTAAAACAAAAAGGTGGCAGCAGCTTCTAACAGGCATTTTCATGATGTTTATTCAGGGTCTGTTCCAATGACATCCTACTTGAAAGCACAGCCAAATGGGTGGAGGTGCACTGGCCCCTCAGCAGGGCCTCCTAATTGTGTGCAGGCAAACTCATGCTGCCTCTTAAATTCTTCCTATTTCAAAGTCAGTATCTCCTCCTTAAAGTGTGTTGCAACACGAAAAGAGCAAAACACCGTCACTATCTATAGTCTTATCGTGTAAGCTGTGAGGAATCTAGATCATTTGCATAGTTTCCAAGCTGTAATTTTAGAAAACAGTCTCTTCTAAAACAAGACTCGTGGAAGCAGTGCACTTCCCATGTTCCTGAACAGCCTACAATGCTATTAATTTCTTCATCAACTTCTTTGTTTGCCTAACAGGAGCCTGAAAATTGTATACTGTTTATTATACATCACAAACCATCATCTCTGTTTTTTGCTAAGTCTGATGTAGAAAAATACTTGAAATTTAAAATACAAAAATCCAATAAAAACTGGATTTTTCTTTTAAAAGGATTTTGTCCCTCAGGGCAAACAAGTAAAAACTGGCCTATAACTTTACTCCTTACTGATAGATATTGTCCAATTTGGCTGTAAGATAATAACCGTCCAGAAATAAATCGTTATATATACACTCAGCGTTTACATTCCAGATTCATTGGAATACCAATAGATTTTGAATAAATTTTTCTGTGGGAGTCTGTTGCTTATGAGACTAAAATAAAAATTTTAAGAGACCGATTTAAAAGAACAGAAAAGTAATAGAAGGCTATATATATTATATATATATATTGGTCCACAACTTGACATTTATGAAACATACCAGCTAGTATTACACTGCAGTCAATTTAATTTGTCCATTAATGGTATTACTCTGATTATTAAAATCTGTTTCAGGTATAGATACTGAAAATATTTTCTTTTGCATTCTTGACGAAGATAGGTACAGTACTTTGGAGAAATTGTACTAATCCCTTGTAGGTTTATATGTACATATATACACAAGTGTGTGTATTCTGATCTGTAGCTCTACATGCGCTTTATATACAGCTACAGACACACACACACACAAACATATATATACACGTGGCTGGGAACCTGTGCATGTGAATACATAATCACAAGCACATGTCTGGGAAACACCAACACTGCAGGATACTGGTCAGTTTTCTTCACTCATCACTGGCTGCACTTGTTCCCCTCACTTGACCTTGATTACGTAACTGCAAGGAAAGTGAAAGGAGTGCAATGTGTTAAAATTCAGAGAGATGCAAAAAATGTTTCAGACAATAGCTTGATGCACACATTCTCCTGGAAAAAACCCTCAGTGTATTAAAACTTTTGACAGAACATGGACCCCAACTACTGCACTTAAAAAATTTAACCTCTTGAAGATTTTAGTCTAACATGTTGACGTAACATCAGAGGGAAAATAAATTAGAAGCAAATATAAATCACAGAAACTTAGAAGAACTTAATAAAAATAATAACCTGAAATTTTTTTTTAATGGAAAACTCAATTTAAAGAAAGGGCTTTGGGGGATCCTGGCAAGGGTTATTCATCCTTATTAGGTACAACTACTTCTCTTCACTACTGAACACGTCATGTCTCCCATGTCTTATAATTAAAGAGCAGGTATCACATGTAAGGGGGCAGCAAGAACTACAGTGGAGTGAGAAGTGTTCTGTCTTGTGCTTTTCCTCGACAGACCCCATAGTTTAATATTAACAAATGACAAAAGTGTACAGTCAGTTTTTGTTTACTCACACTGGTTTCAATGTGTGGGGTAGATTTTGAGGCTCTTTTATCCCCTCTAGGAAAATCTTTAATTTGAGCAAATAAATTTGTGTTAAGAGGATTAAGACCCTAGAAATGTTTTACATTGTAAATGAAAACCGAAGTACATTTACGCATATTAAAGCTAACTATAAAGATAATTGAAGAGCATACATAAAGGAAGACTTTCTGGTGTTCAGAAAAAAAATTCAACTAAAACGAATTATTGAGGTTGGCCCTTATAGTATGGGATAAAAGATCTTTGACTTAAAATGCTTTAAGATATTTCCCTACTAACCACAAAAGGTCATACTGAGAAATAATTGGTCAATTAACTGGCTATTGATGAAAAATCAGCTGCCTTCTAGGACAATGCCATGTGATGGATAAGTGCACTCGACAGGCAGCTGGTTTCTAACCCAGTAACACTTAGACGTAGTTCGTGATTACTAAATCCAACCTGTTCCATTTTTACAGAACAGTAACTCAAGTTCACTGTCAATTTCTAAAATATAATCTCTTAAATTCTAAAAATTAAACCACATTTAACAGTCTCTCCTCAGCAAGTTAACTACCCATTACCAAAAAGGTATTGGTTTTTAAATATCCTTTTTACCCAGATCTTCACTTACACAGTTTGATATTGTCTCTGACCCTACAGGGGACTCATCTAGACATCAGCAGCCGACGTGCCTCGGACGGAACCCTTCTTACGCATCTAAACGTAAAATAAAATCATGAGCTGCTGAAATCACAGACTACATTGGGTTAGTAAGCAAGGGGAGAAAAAAGTATCTAGAAGAGATTGGGAAGTGACCACTGCCTATTTATAACCATTTCACATAGAGAATGAAGTTCTGAGGCCCGTTTAGTAATCTTGGTCTAAAGAAAATCTTGCAAATGGACTTTCTTACACAGCATAAAAAATGTGTATCTATTCTTGAATCTAGGAAACAAAAGCCTGCGGACTGATGATATGAAATTATCAAAGACAGCCAAGGGTAAATGAACTGTTCACCAACAGGAGGTGAGATGGTCTGGCTCATATTGTTATAGTCCCAGGCCAGACAGGAAGCCATGAGGAATGGCCACCTCTGCTGCTTTTGAGACTAGGGTCCCTCACAGGAGTTCTTTATGGGAAGTTTACTGAAAAGAGGTAAGTGGAAAGGAAAAACAAGTGAGCACAGGAACAATGTATGAGAAACAATGAAAAACAGACACAGATGCATCAGAAAGGACAGGCATTCACAACAATAGCCTACAGACAATTTTAAAAACTCAATGAGAAAATTAAGCAAAAGAATGGATAGAAAGGAACAAATGCAATAAACACACTTCTAAAACTCAACCCTTCTCCCCCACCCCATGGCAGTGCCAGTTGAGAACAAACACAAAAGGTTTGCCCAAAGTATTCTTTCAGTTGCTGAGCCTAAACCCAGGATTTCTCTGCAGGATTACAGGCAGTGGCATTCCTCTCATGCCTAACCTTTCAAGATGCTATTCCTTCTCTCCAGGGCCAAAAGACATTTGAAAGAAATCCAATTCTTAAATATTTGCAAATTAAAAAGAGAATTACAATGTATCAAATTCTATCACAAGGTGTCAGGAAACAGGACCTGAAGAAAGGGGGAAATTCCTCCGTGGTAAAGAGGACTTGAAAATGTTAAGCCTCTTTAGGAGGCACGTGCTTTCTGCGGAGGCGGTTTCGCCTACAGGCATGATATGCCCAGATTCTGAAGATGCTCACGGACCAACTGTTAGGACTCAAGAGTAGCAATGTGATGTGGAATAGAGCATTCCCCAATGACCTAGAGCAAAATAACTGAAATGGGATTTTTATGTTAAGATGATCAGTACTTAATGCTGAAATTTGCCTTAAAATGTTGAAATATGTACCCCCAACCCTGAACCAATGATAGGTTCCTACCAACTTCTTGGGGGAATTAGGTTGAGTCATATGGATACAATAGATGATAGCTTCTAATAACTTGGGCTTCTGTGAAACTACCTGCCTATCTTACACCTTTTCAAGTGCAATTGCCAGCTCACAAATAATTGCCTTGCAGGGAGCAGCAGCTGAGACTGCAGACCCACTGCCATAGGTGGGAGCAAGAGTCATCACCTCCTTGTAGGGCTCTCATGTTGACACTGGGGCTGTCCTGTGTTCAAGTATCAGGAGACTAAACTTGTGAGGGAAGCAGGAGTACTTCCCTGGGGTCTCAGCCAAGGTCTGTTCAAGGGGTGAGAGATAGGCAGGGTTCAGAGCCCAAACCACGGAGGGCTCCATCCATCACTTCAACTGTGACCACTCTTCCTCACGTATGGACACCTCTTTAGCATAAAAATCAAAACCAAAAAAGCCTCCTTCCTGAGAGGTCAAATCAATAAAAAGAAGTCTGTTTTGTTTTATCTTGGTGTTGGTAAATCACTTTTGGAGATGCCAAGGCTGTACCATGAGTTTAGTGAGAATGAGAGTAACCATGCTGCTTTCTGTTTAATGTTCGGCTGACCGCAGTTGCTCAAAAAGGCCAGAGACAGAGCCAGCAGGTAACGCTGGGGCCTGGAGCACCGGGAGGGAGCGAAACCAGGCAAGGCAGGGGAAAAGGGATTCAAACCGAGTGGTGGTGGGTGCTTCTAAGAGAAGGGCACCTGGTTCTTGAGTAAGGGAAGACAGAAGCGGGTGAGAGGCAGGCAAAGAAAGACAGGACATACCCATGACTTACTCCTGCCTGTTTAAATATTTTGACTGGGCCAGCCTAAAAATAAGGTCATAAGGGAGAGTCTTCCATGCTTGCCATTCGATCACCCCATTCCCAAGATCCAGAACTCAAGAGTCAGGCCAGTAGTAGGAGAAACTGATGTCTAAGAGGCTTCCACTGGCTGGCCTAGAAACCGAATCCCAATTTATATTGTTTAATCTATGGGAAATCATGTTCCAAATTTCAAAAAATTAACTTAAAAACTTTTGGAACAAAATCCATTCGTAAGTTGGAGACGGCCTGAAGTTTACTTTATGTGTAAGATAAGGTTAAAACATTTATTGCCTTATAAAGAAAGTATGTCCTAGCCCTCTCAGAAGGTTTGTATAAAGCTAATTAGAAGCAGATCTGCCGTAATCACCAAAAGTAAGCAATTTTAAACAGATTCTTTACGATGCTCTGTGCCAGACAAATAGATTTCTTTCTGTGCCAAAGAACCTGATTTGCTGCCACTCTCCTATGATTAAATGGAGTTCCTGCCTCACACATAGGCGTTTGTCAAACACTCTCGCCTTCAGGGCTTCCAAAACTGAAACTGCTGGCAGGACTCAAGATGACTGCATGGAAACCACTAGCCTACCCTGGACATTCCTTGGGTTCATTTCTCCCGTGGGGCCTCACTTCCAACTGAGAAGTGCAGCGCAGAGCAAGAGCAAAAGCAAAAGCAAGAGGAAGTTGGGGAAGAATCTGTCCCTGGGAGAAATGGGGTGCTCAGGCACGGAAGGGCCTGCTCACTGGTGGTGAGGAGCTGGGGTGGGCTTTAACTTTGAAACATGGCCAGCTAACCTCCAGCCCAAGGATTACCTGTATTTGTGCCTAAAGCTTTATTAAAAAGAAGTAAGATTCACTGCTAGTTGTGGGAGGGAAGGAGGCTTTTCTGGAATCAGTGATAATACCACTCCTCTTATCTTTTCTACAGAAGAGGGAACTAGGACCTCCGGTGCTAACGTTAGTAACTTACTATGACAGCAAAATGAGCCAAAGGCAACTTGGCCTGATAAAGTGGGTGTCTAAAAAGGCTATGAACCAGATTCCATCACAGAGAACTAATGCATAAAAAGGAATTAAGCAATCCACTGAACATCTTACAGGTAACAAATTCTAAATCAAGAAAGCTCTAATCTACTTTTATGAAAAGATGCTCAACAAGAGAGAAATCAGAACACTTGAAGAGATATTAGTGCCTGAGAAACTCGACTCTGAGGAGGATATACAGATGAAGGAACGGCTTCTAATACTCTTCTTAATTCTAAGTCTATACTTACTAAGCACACACACAGTACTAGAGAGGAAAAATTAGAGAATTTCCACAAACAAGAAGTCTTACTGTTTCTAGTTCTTTCTGAGTTTCATCTTCCATTCGCCTAATATCTTCCATTGTCAGATCAATCCACTTGTCAATCCAACAAAAAAGCTGGCGATGAAAGTTTGTAAATATCCTTTTTTCTTGCTTTTAAAACAAAGAAGAAAAGTAGTGTAAGATGGTAAAACTCTTAAGATTAACGACACATTAACTTTATATGTCCCAATTAACACGTGAAATTGATATACACTTGGTTTGAAAAGACTATGCCGATTAGTGGAAATCTTAATTTCACACTATTACAACATTTTGTAAAACAAGATAAAGATTTCCCTGTGGAATGTGAAACAACCTCTCCTTGCGAAGGAAGTATGATTTACCAGAAACTGAAAAACACGTGGTGTGTACATTCTAATCCTGCATAAACTCCTGCTGGACTGGATTCATTATACTTTTCTAAATGTCAATCACCAAAGGTCAACTCAATTTCTTTTGTTGTAAAACTACCATCCTTAACTTCTCTGCAGTTCAAAGAAATACTGTGAGGAGGGATACAACAACATTCTGAAAGAGGAGTTCTGGGTTCTTGGAATAAGTTTTATTAAATTGAGAATTATTACATACCCTCCAGAGTTAATTTTTCTACTCTGTTACTGCCCCTATATATATATATATAAATATAAACATATATAGTATATGTATATATAAATAAACCATATGTATAATCAGTGATTTTAATTGCTAGATTAAGTTTTATTAAGCTTTCCAAGGAGAGAGAAAAGTGAGTACTTCAGTATTTTTGTATACTCCTCAACTTCTACATTTTTTTCCCATGAACAGAAGGGACTTCATCAATTATATGTGTGACTTCTATTTATCAGAACTAGATTGTTCATCTATTATGATGATCCTAGAGGAAAGAAGGAAGCCAATATTTACAGAGTGCCTCCTGTGGGCCAACTGCAAGCAGGCCCAAGAATAACCAGTTTCCAGACTTTACGATCCTTTTTTTTTTTTTTAAAGTGTGAGAGCAGTTACAGTTTAAAAGCAAAACATTATGGTGAAACTCCCCCACCACAACCAGTGTGGGTTCAGAGATATAAAGGGGGCTTCTTTATCGTGATAATGGGATAAACATTCACCCTACAGGAAAAGTAAACACCGAAGAACTTTCCATATTCCTCATGTGCTTACAACCCTGTGTACTTTTATACAACTGCAATTCTCTCCTCTTTCTCCTCAATTGTCCCTGTTGCTTTCACTTCAATAAAGAAGTCATAAACCCTAGGTTCAGGGTGTAACTACTCTCAGTGAGGATCCCTAAAGAAGATGCCACAGGAGAGCACAAAGTATACAAGAAAGTGTATGTTGGGAGAGATCTGTGGAAGGGGTAAGGGGAGCTGAGCTGGGACGAAGAAGAGCCTCAGCAGGTGAGGCCTGGCCTCTCCCTCCAGCCAATGCTGAGACCCCAGGTCCCCCTGGGGACATGCTATATGTGGAAAAGGCTCTCTACAGAAGAGCTGGGCAACCCATCAGGAAAGCACTCGGAACAGAAAAGGCTCTTCCCTAAAACAGGCTCCTTAAAACCTGTGCTGGCCTCTGACTGTGCTGTTTCCTAGGAGAAAAAGAAGGGCAGAGAGGAATGATGCAGGAACAATAATTTTTATCTCAAGAGAAATAAAACAGTGGTAAGTAGCTACCTCAAATCTTAGCCTAAATTTCAGTCACTGCATTTTGAACAGACTTTACCTTCTGAATGAAGTTTTCTACTTTGCTTTGCAGCCCCCACCACTTGAATTTGATGGTCACCAGCTTATAGGCACACATCTGAGGACAGTCAGGGTTGTTTGCCAGCTCCTTCTAGATGAGGAACAACGAAAAGGAGAAATTGCGACTTAAATATTTATGTTTTGATTAAAACTGACTGCTGTGTAACGACATCACAGACTTGCATGAAGAAAATTACAATCTCATATAGGTGTTTAATTCAGATATTTGGAAATTTGAAATCATTTTAGCAAAAGTAGCAGTATTCCCCTGCTGCAAACTCTCCTTCCACAGACGAAGTTACTTCCTGACTCTCCAGTTTAATAGGCGCATTGCTGTCTCAAATTACACTATTCAGATTTCATATTAAACACCAGATTCTATTCACATCTTATCAATAGTGAGCCTTTAATACATAAGTGTTCTCATAAAGCCATTATTGTACTCCCACCATGAATGTGCTGAGGCACAATACGAAGCGATGAAGTTAGTTGTCTTCTGCATCCTCAAACACTGGCAAGTGGCACGGCAGTGTTTTATTAACTGAGGCGTTCTCAATGGAAGGGGAGTATACAAGGGGATGTACAGCAAATGTGATCTACATCAAGTCTCCAAAGGAAAATCCCAAGCATCTGGGCTTTAATATCCACAAATGATTACACCTCATAGTTTAAATGGTGAGGTCAGGGAATCAAATCAAGAGTTGTTATGGTAAAAAAGGGAAAATATTTTTAAAAAAAGCAAAAGCAAAACAGCACGGAAGAGAAGTAGGGAGACTATCTGGATTAAAAGAGACTAAAGAAACAAAACATAATGTCTACAATTTACATTCAGAAGAAAACATAAGGGAGCAATAAGAGTTTGGATCCTCAGACTCAGAGTATAGAAAGTCACTCAGAATTTTTAGATTCAGTCAAAAAAATTTTTAATATGTATTTGTGTGGAGAGAGAGAGAAAGAGGAGAGGGGAAACAAATATGCCAAAGTGTTAACAACTGTTATGCATCTAAGTGGAGGTGTTCACTGTTTTATTCTTTCAGCTTTTTGGCTAGTTCTGCAATTTTTGATTATAAAAATTGGGGGATTGCAATCCATTTCTGTGACACTCAGTGCAGGCTTCTGCCTTAGTAGCATGTTTATTTCAGAAGAGGTGAATGTGGGGTTGAACCAGGAGCTCGCAGCACATGAGTTCTCCAAGCTGGTGTGTACGAAAGACCAAAATCATTCTGAGCTGATCCAGAAGAGCCTGGGGTGGGCTCACAGCAGCAAGCAAATGCAGACATGGCCTTGCCTGCAGAGCTCAGGTTAGCCCAAGGCAGGTACTTATCAAAGAATCAGATAGCAGAGGGGACTGCAGGTAGGGCCTAGGGAGAGCGCCAATCCCTAAACTCTAAGCCCCAATGCTGGTGTACTTACAAGATAAGAGCTGCATCTCAAAACTGTTGTGAGGACTCCATAAGGCAGTGTATGTGCCATGCTTAGTTGGTAGAACTCAAGGGCATAATACATATCCGTCCTCTCTTTCTGTTAGAGTAGTATTTACCACTTTGAATTTGGGGGAAAAAATCAAATAAAGCTTCTTAGGAGTAGAGAATCATGTGCAACACTATGGGAACTCTTTTTATAAAAACTACATTACTGAGTGAAAAGATAAAGCAGCCTTTTTACAAGCGTTCTCCCCTTCTTTACCATTGTTCTCAGCTTCACATGGCATTCAAGACATTACAATGCCAGCATCAGTCACACTGTGTGCCACTGTCACTTCCTGTCAGCTTCAACTCACTCACCTATCCCACTTTCAATAAGTTCGTTGTGTGAACAAATATTCTTTCCACTTAGCCACATATACATAAATTCAAAAAATGAATTTCTAGGTCTTATTCTAAAACCTCAAGATTATTCTTCATCTGTGGAATTACAGCACCACACTACATTTTCTCCCCCCCTGAACTCTCAATAATGTTCCATTTCAAGTGAATTCTAAGGATAATATATATGAAAAAAATTCTACATTGGTATTATTAATAGAATTCAATGTTCTATAGAGTCCTAAATGATTGATCAGCTTTTCTCAGAAAATCTCTTCTGTAATAACAGTTCATCTTCTGAATAATGAGCTGGTACATGGGTTAAATCAATGGGGTAACACCACAGCATTTAAATAAGATTATTACATATAGCAAACCATCCTTTTCCAGGTAAGTTCTATGTCAACAGAGGAACTTGGCTAGCTTAGCTCTATTTTTCCATGATTTCCCTCCCATAAAACAGAGTACCACTGTGAAAATTCAGTACACACACACCCATACTTTATGAACAAGTTTAATTCAGTTAAGTGTTAAGTGGGTGCCATTTACAACCCAATCTGTGCTAGGTGTTGCCAGAGGACACAAAAGTGACTGGCAGTAAATTATGTTTATCAGCAATGATAAAACCACTTCTTTTGGTGCCAACAATCAGAAGGGACACCCTTCTATTGTGGCTGCTGTGGCCCTGGGCAAAAATCATGTATTTGCAACTGTCCCGTCTCCCCCCCGCTTCCCCCGACCTACAGGACCCATGCACTACTGTTTATGGAAATAGTCAACCAGTCTTACACAGCACACAGGTAGCTTCTGAGTGCCCAGCCTTATTGAAATAATGACAAAACTGGTCTTTCAGAGATCACTTTTCAATAAGCAATGAGCCAGTCTCTCTGACGTATTCTCTAATCCAATGAGTGTCACTGAAAACCTTCATATGAAACACAATTTGTGTATATGTAGAATACAGCACTGAAAATTGTGAGATACACCTGCCAAATAGCTCCCATTATGCAAAGTAACTTCCTATGTAAGGTGGGAAGGGCCCTTAACCTCTTTGGGCTTCCTCCTCTGTCAGTAAAAGGAAAGCTGGGCTCTATCAGAGCTTTCCATCCTAGAAGTGAGTGAACTTAGTTCCTCCTGAAGAGTCAGGGTCAGCCCAGGGGTAACGTACGTGGCTTAGACATCCAAGGCCTTGTCTTAAAACTTCCTATATTTTTGCCTTTTTTCCCTTCATAATATTCCTGGGCTTATTAACAAAATATCTCCCTGCCCACACACTCAGGCCGAATTTCCTCTGTGGCTGAGAACCATATGAATCATTCCAAGGTCCTACTAAGTACGGGCTACTGATAACTTGGTTCTGTAACTCCAAATCATTAGACGCCCCGTACTAAATGAAAACCTTAGGTATTTCTAGTAGAGCATCCACTCCAGAAGTTTATAAAAACGGCAGGATCAAGCATGGTTCTCATTAAAGAATAAGCTAAATTTAATATGAACACGCCTATACCAAACTTGGGCTCCAAGAGCAGAGCACACATGTGACTTCAACAATTACCTACATCGTTTCTCACATTCCTTCTAGTGAGTCTGGCAGGCTGCTCAAATCAATTATGGTAATACTGGTAATTTATTAAGTAATAATGGCCTATAAAATTTAGTTTAAAAACTGTAAGTTTTAGGATAGGACAAAAAAGAACTAGTTCTCCCTAAGCTATCTTCCCCAGATCTAAAATGTATAGTCAGTTTCAATCTGTTTTTTTGTTTTCCATCTAATAAGTAATTATTTTTTAAAAAGTTCAGCCCTGGCCGGTGTGGCTCAGTTAGTTGAGTGCTGTCTCATGCACCGAGAGGTCACTGGTTCAATTCCTGGTCAGGGAATGACCTGCAATCCATGCCAGGATTGCAGGCTCGATCCCCAAGTACGGGGTGTGCAGGAGGCAGCTGATTGATGTTTCTCTCTCAAATAAATAAAAAATCATTTTTAAAAAATAAATAAAAAAATAAACATACTCTCAAAATTTTTAAAATCATGTATTTTAAAAAATACTAAATTTTTTTTTTAAGTTAAGGGAAGAATATGTAAACCAATTAAACAAATAGCCTGCTGCCTTTATTTCTTGGCCTAACCCTTCACAGTATCAATATCTCACATAGTATGAGGCATAGGTCACTTACAGAAACAGACTCTCTAATGTCCCCAGGAGAAAGCTGAGGATATAGAAGCTATATCTTTTTCTTCAATTATTATTATTAATATATGTGATATTTGAAGTCTCATCCAATCCTAAAAATGACTTACACAATTCACCTCTTAGTTTGAGCTATGATCTTAAAACAAGTGAGTAAATAAAAGAAACAACTTTTAAAAGTCTCCACACTTACAACGATGAAACAGAAAATAGTGAAACTGCCTAGATGCAATAAATAAAGGCTAAAGGAACCCTCCTGGCACCATTTTTCTACGGTGGAATCTAACACTACGCAATTAAAAGCCTCAAAACTGCTCATATCCTATGTATATCATATACTTTTAACCTGGTAATTCTACTTTCAGAAATGTATCCCAATTCACCAGGTAAGAAAATAACAACACTGTAGATTTATTTATAACAGCAAAAAGCTAGACATATTAAACTCAACATGTACTGAAGAAAAGTGGTGAAATACCTCAGAGGCCTTCCAAACAATGTCCATTAAAAACCATCTTTTTAATGAACGATTAACAAAGTGAAAAAGAACAAAAAAGCTTAATGTGAATACAAATAGGTATCTATGATATAAACATTTATAACAAAATCAACTACATGAATCAGGAAATATAACAGTAATTAAATAGTGAGCTTATAATTGATTTTTATTCTCTCCTGTGTGCAATTCTTTATTTTCAAAACTTAATATATAAATATAATTTTATAAAAAAACTAATATACATAAAAAACTCTAAAAAACTTTTTCCCCTCAGCTGAGTATTTTGGACAAAGATTTACTTTGCCCTAAATTACCTGGGTAATATTTCAAATCTTTATTCTTCTTTGACTATAAACAACCTAAATGTTTTCCTGCCTTCCTACTTTTTGATGTTTAATAAATCAAAGCTAAACAAAATCAAGCTGAAAGCTGAACTAGGGTCTTTAATACATGACTTTAGTGTAATCCGAATTTAATTTTTCCTAATCAAACTTCTAAAACAAAAACAAGGTATATATGCAGAGTAAAATATAATCAATTCTCAGTTGTCAGCAATATTCTTAAGAAAATGTATAACTTTTAAAGTGTGAAAAATCTC